CAACGAACGTTTCGGTATTATACACGGGCTTCGCGACGACCCAGGCGAACAGTCAAACTCAAACACGTACCCCCGGTACCTTACCCAGCAAGCAGACGAAAAATAATTCACCACGAACCTCATGGCTACGGCGTATTTAACCCCTTTTTCAGAAGTCAAGATGGCTTCAACAAGTAGGATATGACAATGCATATTTTGGAAATCACACTTCCGGTGATCGCCACGAGTTACCAGAAAACTTATCTAAAGTAATCTAATTCGACCCCAAATGTATTTATGTGTGTATTTAACATCCTAATAAAATATTATTCCTAACTATAGTTGAGTATTAAACCCAATTTTCCTAGAAAAGCACCCTAATATAATATGCCGTCATGGACAATCAATGGTATTGATTTCAAATAGCACAACACCAAATAACCCATTAATGTTATCTGTCAAATTCGTACCACGGAACAAGAATTGGCTATCGGACCGTACAAACTAGACGACAGGTATTTCCTAGAAAGAAGAAGATAACCCGAATTTCGGATATAATAATTAATGTCAAAACATTATTGAAATAAAATGTAAACAAACGTAAAATACAACTAAATAGTGATTTAAAAGGGGTGAAAACTAAGTGAAATAACTACCACATACTAGCAGCATACTCGCAGGTCATGATGCTACACGTTTTCTGCTCATAAAACCATCAGGATCTTAAAAGCAAAAGGTAAGACAACAAGTTCAATGAATTGAATCATATTAAAAGTTTTATTCAAAAACAAAGCAATGCCTTTTTAAAAATGATGTGGATTAAGGATATATTTTAAATACCTGTATCCTTTAAATTACCAAAGGTTCTTATTCAAGACAAATCAATATTTTATTAAAAGTTAGTATTCTTTATACTAAGAATGTGTTTTAAATGCCATACCTATTTAATTATTCTAAAACTAAAATCAACATGTAACAGGTTTACGGTAAAATTGGCGCAAACAAAATGCGTGTAAAAACATCGACCCTGGCCATTTCAATTCGTTTAAAAAGTAAATGATTTTGAGGGTTCTTAAATTAGTTGAGAATAGTTCAAACTACAATCTAAGTTGTAATACAATTTATATTCCGAAAATCAACTGAAAATATATTCAAATTAATTATTGAACGTGCAATAAATTTATCACACTGATTATTGCAGTCTAATTTAAATGATTTTAATTTTTAAATTCAACTATGTCATAACCTGTTACATGTTTGTAGTGTATTCTATACAAATATTGATGCTAATGGATATATAATAACTATATGAGTTTGATTTTGCCTTAAAATAATTCGATTTAATAAAAGTAACTAGACTTTTGTTGTAACGATGTTCCCCAGTAACACCGTTCTAGAGACGCCTATGGTTCAGCATACAGCCGTTTTTGCCAAGGAGAGACAAGTATATAAAGAGCTCCGATTTTAATTCTCGTCAGTCGAACTAAGGTACTGACTTAGTAAGACTCTCCTCTCCTGCTCCTGCAGAGGTATTGACTCTGTAGGCTTCCCGACGTCCCGACCCTTGCCTGCAAAAGTATTGACTTTGCAGGTTTTCCTTTTCATGAATCTCTCCCACGAAGGTATTGACTTCGAGGGACTTCCATTACCGTAAATGTGACCTAAGCTCTTGTCACATCTTCGCCACGCCATCCTGGACCACCAAGCCACGCCGAACCGACGCACAAAATATATTTTGGGGGAACAATAGTTGAAGACACGACGATTCGAAATCTAGTTAGAACCTTTTCATTGTACATATTGTAAATATTGTTGTCTATTTATAAATTGTTAGAATATAGTTTTATTTCCAAAGAACTCTGTCTCCGACTGTCTAAAATCTACCTGCTACCCGAACAAACCCCAGGAGGGTTTATTTCTTGGGTTCCTATGATCGCTTCTGATGGTAGGTTTGGAAGAAAATACAATTCTATTTTTAACCATTTGTCGTCTATGGAACATTCTGTCATGTACGTGTGTTGAATGCTGTTGGAACTGCCGTCTGCTAGAGTGATTTTCTTGTTTGTTGGGCGACCTGCATTCTTCTGCTATCTTTCTTCCTTTTTCTCCTATAAATGAGAATTGTGCTCCGGTATCCACTAAAGCTGTTAGAGTTTTTCCATCTTTGAACTTAAGTGTGACGTGCGGTCGTATGTCTGTTAGCTTGTGGTTGTAGCAGGTTGTTAAGGAGTTCACTGGGTTACCTCCCTTGGACCCAGTCGTTCTCTGGTTTTCCGACTGTATTCGGCATGTGCAGTTCTTTGATAGTATGCCTAGTGTCCACACAGTGGCTGCAGAAAAGGACGGGGCTAGATCCACAATTCATTCGGTTGTGTCCTCTCCAGCTGCACTTCTAGCAACATATCTTTCTGTTAAAATTTTCTATTTTATTTGCGAAGATGTTTATGGGGTTTATTTGTCGTCTGTTCGAGAAACTGTGTGTATCGTCCTTGAAATTTGTAAAATCTTTTATGAAATCGTCCCAGGTATCCCAGTATCTGTTATTGTTCTGCTACCATAGAATTGCTTTGCCTTTCAACGTTTCGGGAAGTGCTTGTAGCAATTGGCTGTCCTGTATCTCGTACGCCGTTTGGAGTTCTTTTATCCGTTCCAGAAAGTCTATTGGATCTCTGGACCCTTCGAAATGGAGTCCCTATTTTCTAATTATCTCTATCTGTTTACATTTATCGTTGTTGATGTTCGTGTTCGTAGACGTATCCTTAGTAGAGTTTTCTTCGTCTCCTGGCATTTTGCTTACTGTTTTTGGGCGCACCTGTATCTGTACTTGTTAGCTTCTTGTATGCGTGCAGCAAACTGTTTTAATTTCCTTTGTTATTCCTTTACTGCTCGGGCGCCATCTGTAACCCCTCCTGGGGGTTTGTTCGGGTAGCAGGTAGATTTTAAACAGTCAGAGACAGAGTTCTTTGGAAATAAAACTTTATTCTAACAATTTATATATAGACAACAATATTTACAATATGTACAATGAAAAGGTTCTAATTAGATTTCGAATCGTCGTGTCTTCAACTATTGTTCCCCCAAAATATATTTTGTGCGTCGGTTCGGCGTGGCTTGGAGGTCCAGGATGGCGTGGCGAAGATGTGACAAGAGCTTAGGTCACGTTTACGGTAATGGAAGTCCCTCGAAGTCAATACCTTCGTGGGAGAGATTCACGGAAAGAAAAACCTGCAAAGTCAATACCTTTGCAGGCAAGGGTCGGGACGTCGGGAAGCCTACAGAGTCAATACCTCTGCAAGAGCAGGAGAGGATAGTCTTAGTAAGTCAGTACCTTAGTTTGACTGACGAAAATTAAAATCGGAGCTCTTCATATACTTGTCTCTGCTTGGCAAAAACGGCTGTATGCTGAACCATAGGCGTCTCTAGAACGGTGTTACTGGAGAACATCGTTACATAGTAATATTTTAGTACAACGGTATCGGCACCAGAGTTTAGTGAATTTTAGTGGTCCCTTCTTTAGATACCTATACAGCTAATGTGTAAACGCGCCAAATAAAATTTAAATTTGACATTCAGTGGTCTCTTCCTTAGATATATATATACAGCTAACGAATAAAGACTCTAAATACCATGTAAAAAGGAGTAAGCTTTCATGTGACATTTTAGTATAATTAATACTTTACTATTTAGGTACATCAACCCTTTTAAATTAGTTTTAATTATTAATGAATTAATAAATCAGTTTCTATTTCCTATAATTAGTAAGGAGAGTATAGAAATAATTATTTTTTAGACCTTGAGTTTTTGATAGATTTTACGTTTTGGGGTCCTTGAATCTGCTCTGACCATTTTTACGAAGATGTGTGTGTGTATTCACAATAAATCGCTTTTCTACTTTTAGGTATATTCCTGTTATTTAGCATTAGAAAATAAATTTCTTTGAACAGAGTTGTATTCGATGTCATTCTCTAGAAATTTTATCATACAGTTCCGCACTTCATATGGGATTTTTTTTTATTTAGTTTACGCAAATTTAGATTCATTTAAAGTTTGTGCTTTTAAAATAATAAAAATTTTGTAATATTCAATATAATCTTTAAATGTTTTGATAAAATTGTAAATTTTCAATATCACCAGTATTTTGTTAAATACCTCAGCAATAAATGAATTATTTCAAAAATGTCATATTGATTTGACACCCAAAACTTATATGCATGAGATCAATTGTCTCTTATATTATTTTGTTTCTAATCTATTTAGCTACCAAGTGTTAAGTTCCGTTACTTGTAATAATTATTAAAGCTGTTTGCAAGGTATAGTACTAATAAACAAAATAAAAAATAAGACATTTTTTTGTTTAATATTAACACATATGTAAAAATAATAATATAACCAAAAATAAAAACTCGTTAACATTTATTTTGTTAACCTTAAAAAAATTACTACAAAAATAAATAAAAAAAAAATAACATCACATTCTTGATTAACCTTAATAAATAATTTTACAGTAGTACAAAAATAAAAATCACATTTTTTTAACCTTAAAAATAACTTCAAAACTACAAAAAATAAATAAAAATACCATTTTTGTTTAACTTTAAAAATAACATTAAAACTATAAAAAATATTTAATTTAACATTAAAAATAACTTTAAAACAGTTTTAGTGCAGCTGCTATTTCATTTTTAACGGCAATGTCTTCCTTTTTAACTTGTAGTTTTTCTTGTTGAATTCTAGTATTTTCATTTAAACTATCAATTTTTAGTTTATAATATTCTCTTTATAGCTCAGTTTTAATTCTATTTCATGAAAAATCTTGTTTGAAACTTGTGACGTTTCAGTTAATCTTTTGGATTTGTTAAGGTAGCACCTCTTACTGAGGGTTTCTGATTATTTAACTCTTTTAGAGGGTCTGGCACATGTTCACAATCTATTATAGATTCTTCATTTTGATTTTGAAATTCGGGTTCGCCAATAATTTCTAATATTGTATTATTCCCTACGATTTCCATGAGGTCTAACATTTATTTTATTTTGGCTTCGTAGTCATCATATGCTTCTGGTTCTGATAATGGGGGACCTCCTCCTGTACCGGATTCATATTTTTTAGTCTCAGATACTTTCTTTTTAATGTTGCTTTTTAAATCAAGCCATGTCTAAAACCAAAATAGATTATAAAAAGAAATTTTTTATATCCTGCTTACCTTTTTTCCACGTACTTGAATCCTTAAGGGTAATATACTTATGTGTAATTATACGTATTAAGCATTTAACAATTTCAAATATTATTTTAACGAAATGCAGAAATTCTGCTATATTTATACATAATTTACTAAGCATGTCTAAATTCTACCTAATAGAAAATCTATATATTTTTATTATTAAGAATTTGAAAACCATGCAGAAAACACAACAGAATATTTGGCATTTCATTTTAACTTTAATTAATCTTCTAATTTTCTCCAAGTCTATCATTTGAACTAATTTGACTGCCAAAGTATACCGTTTAGAATTAAATTCATTTAATTTCGATGGTGAACTACAAATCGAAATATTTCACTTATGAATTCAATTTCACTGATATTCAAAATAGCCCCCTGGACTTTACCCTGGTGATGTTTTAAAATATACTGCAGAGTAATAAAAAAATAACAGGTTTTTAAATGTATTTTGTAATTTATACAATTATTATGCAGTTTGTCATCATTCTATTTATTGTACTCCAACAACCTTTTTCCTATAAATATATTGTTTCTAAAACTCATATAAATTTATACAAGTATGCATACTGAAAAAAAATGGACCTACTGAAAAAAATTAATAGGGAAAGGGTTAAGGGAAAAGAAGATCATATTTAAACATGTTTAACTAAAAATCCTTTCTTATTTAAAAAAGGTAAACGATAAAATAAATAAATAGAATTATAAAACAATACGCTGAAAAGAGCAGGAATTCAAATTTTTTTTTAGTTTTTGTTCCTATAATGCAAAATTACACTGAAAAGAAACCTTGACTCGAATTTATTCAGTTTTACTTCAATCGCCGTGCCTGATATATCTGATGTAATCTTCTCCTTTATATTTTTGTAGCTTGAGGTGACAAAAATTCCGAGTAGGAAATTCAGTTTCAAAACGTTTGACAATTTGCATTCTTTATTCTAGTTGCGATGATTTTCAATTTTAAAGTGATTATTACAACGTCTTTTCGTTTCTTTGAGAAATGGGATATAGAAGGAAAATGTTATTTGCCTTTTGTGATACGCTTGAATTCTCAATTTAATATAATTTAATCATGTTATTCTGGAAAACCTATATTTAATTTATTGCTATATTGTTTATTATATAGGATAATTATAAATATGTAAAAGTTATAAAAATTTAGATGGATTTAAAAAGGACAAAGTAGTTTCGTCCGGTCCATATTTTTCGACTAAATACCATCTATCCAACGCTATTGAATTTGAAATTCTTACATGTATGTGGTATTTATTTTGAGTTTTAATTTTTCCTTAAGAAAACTGACCACATTTGAGATACCTAATGCAAAATATTTTAGTTCACTGTGGACCTACACAAGTTGGTACGCAGATTAATCGCAAAACACGAGAAAATTCACTGCCTCTATGTACTTTATCTACTTAACATTAATATAATAATTGCCTAAAACAAATAATCATATTCCAGAATTTCAGAATAATTTTCATTTGGCGGGTAATTACCGATGAATAATTATTATAGTCATTGAAGTGCGTTACACCATGATACCAAATCTAGTATTAATTCTGATATTGAGCATAATTGATAAATTTGTTTGTGTTATTACGTTTGATGTATACAGAGTGTCCCATTAGTGCGTAATTGTTTAATATTTCAATTAGTGTTATAGATCGGGTCGGTGGTGTAGCGGTCTAACGCGCTTATATTCATTTATAAGCAAGTTTATGTGTCAGAGACTGCTGGGCTTCGACTCCCAGACCGGACCATGTGGATTTTTATTTAAATTGCATGGTTCGGTATAGAATTTGATGTGTGCCGTATTAATAGAAATTCAATTTCTGTTGATATGACATGCAGATTATAAAAAATCGCCATACATTACCGTCTCGATGATGGTGGGTGAGGTTTTCCGGGTTTTCCTCACCTGTAAGTCAAATGGCATTATCAATCATCTTTAAGTCGCCCCGGAGTGTCACGGCAAATAATAATAATAGCCGTCCCTTTCCCCGCACAAGCTCAGCTTTTGGGGTTAAAATTCACTCGTAAGGGGGTGAATTAGGGAGAGTATTATTATTATTATTATTATTATTATTATTATTATTATTATTATTATTATTATTATTATTATTATTATTATTATTATTATTATTATTATTATTATTATTATTATTATTATTATTATTATTATTATTATTATTATTATTATGATTAGATGCGAAAACAACTTTCAAATTAAAGTTATATGGTTTTTAAAAATATTTTTGGATATACAGGGTGTTACGTTTTTGCTTAGAAAATAAAAATGTATATTTTTTAATTAGAACACCCTGTATTTTATTTTAGTTTTAGAATGATTTGGTAATACTGTCTTTACCCTCAGAATTTATTTTTTAATATTTTAGGGTTGCTAAGCAATTAATTTGTTTTATGGAATTAGAGAATGATACAGACCCCAAATAAAATAATCATAATTTAGGTAGGTTTACAATGATTTAAAACTTTAAAAATACAGACTTATAAGAAACTAAGCTAATCGGGATATTAAAAAAAGCTGATTGCAATTTAACACAAAACTCTTTTGTCACCAATGTCATCTTCATTAATATCCTCATTGCTAATGTTATTGTTGTTTTGAAAGATGCTAACTTTACTCAATATTTGACTTTTTACTCATTAGAAATTCTTTAATTGCTATTTAACTGTACTATTTTTCTAGATTTTCTTGTTTTCCTTTAAGTACTATTTTTTAAGTAATTACGCTTTTCCAGCTTCGTTAGAGCTTTTAGCGCCCTTGTTTTTTTTTTAAATTTATCATACTAAAAATCAGATATTATTCTTAGGTTGAAAATGAGCAGGATGATATCGCACATCCTAAAGAAAAGTCATAATTTGTAATTTTTTGCCTTAATTGAAAACAAAGATCTTTAAGAGTTTACTTTAACACAAAACTAGTCGTTATAAGTGGCTATAACATAGCCACAGAACTATTTTTGTGTTAAAGTAGACCCCTAGAGAGCTTAGTTTCCAAATAACGCAAAAAATACAAATTATGACAATTTTCTTCAGGATGTGCGATATCATAGCCTTCCACTGCGACTCTGGTGGATTTATTGTATCTCATGTCTAAATAATAGTTAACCATACAACCACCCTTTATGAAGAAGACATGGTTGAATTAGGTGAGACTTGTTTAACGTTGGTAAGCTCCAATCAAGTGATTTTAAAGATCTGGAACCTAGTGCTTTTTAAAGCGAAGTAGGTATATGGAATGTACTATGTGGATTTGTCATCCACGCTGCAGAATGGACAGTTCAATGTTTGTTGTAGACTTATCCTTCTCATGTAGTTACCTGGACGACAATGTTATGTCATCAGTTCCGAGAAAATACGCAGATATTTCTTATTACACTTCAGGTTCCAAGCAGATGCGTTCATGGATGAGTTGGTTATAAACGGCTTCTGATAAGTTACCCCTGCTGTGTCTCTCCAGTTCATGAGTGTTAAACCTTTCGTCCATTTTGAGATAATTCCTTTGGCAATGCTCTTTGCTATGCCCGGGAATTGTTCTCGCTATGAACTCAGATTTGGTTATTCGAGCGTGTCGGCTTTTTATTGTCCTTCACATCGCTGGGTCTGGGAATTCTGATCAAGGTAACTTTGTTCTGGACTCCAAGGAACTCAAAGGTGTTTATGCAGGCGTCAACACGACTTTCCTAAAAGATCTTTATCGAATTGATAGCAAGGAGAAAATAAAACTACTCTTTCAATCCCAATTCTATAGCTATGATTTCTGTCTGAAAGATCACTGCCAGAGAACTTGTTTATTGATATGTCAACTCTTGGATTCTGGTCCAAAACTCTTGCTCGTTTTTCAGTTTTGGAGCCGTCTACAGCGCATAATCTGCATGGGAGAGAGTTTTATTCCCCCTACTCTATGCGTCTCTCTGTGGAATGAGGACGCTGTATGATTTATCTTTTTGCTGTCAGGATATTAACGAGTTTGAGACAATGCCGAGGATGTGGTGGTTATTAATCTCACTCATCAGTCCCGTCTTGTCCCATCACAGTTCTTCATTGCACTGACTACCCACCTTCGGGAGGTACGCAAGCCGTTGGATTCCAATCAGCTCTTCTTTGGTCGTTCGTTGAAGTTCCTTGTCCCAGCAGATGACGGAGCCGTATGTAACTATGGGTTTTACCACGGTTTGATAAATTCAGTAGATCAGTTGAGGATTGCTCCCTCCATTGTGTACCGCATATCATTCTAAGGGTCCAGATTTTGGTTTTTCCAATTGAAGGTTCCTGGTAAGTTTCTTATCTAGATTAGTACCCAGATATTTTAACTCATACGCAAAGGGAATAATTTTCCCGGCCAACGTAGGTTGTCGAAACTTGTCGAGCTTTCTGTATAGGCCACTATGTTATCCCACTTATAGAAAAAAAGCTACTTCCCTATCTATAATCAGGCAATTTATATACCTCGGTTTAGCTCAGTTGGGTAATTATGATGTTATATATTGACTCTTTTGACTTTATTAGAGTCAGTGGAAATCGACAAGAAACATAGGTTACAGTCTTATCTTAAAAATACTCTTAAGGGTGATTTTTGCTACTGGGGGCACCAAATAATTAGATTTATGACAATTATTAATCAGACCCTAAAATCCTTGTCGAGATGGATGAAATAAAACGTTAATCAGCATTTGTGCCTCCTTAGTACTTTATCATGAAAGCGCTGTATTACTTCAATATTTTTTTGTTTCTAGCTCTTTTTTTACGTGAGCTTTTCAGTGCAGGCTTGCATGCATAGTATCTTTATCTTTATTATATAACAGAGCTTATTTACGTTAGCAGCTCCACTGTGCCTACTCATCAACGTTTGCTATTCACATTTCGAAGTTTATTAAAACATTGCTAAATATGCAGTTCCGGTGACAACT